CGCCCTGCATCAGTGGGGTGGGAAGAGAACGCTCTGTGGGGCTTCACACCTTCCGCTCTTCAAGGGCCCAGCACACACACTGACCCACAAGCCACGTGACTGACCCACCGCGCCCGCCTGAAGAGCCTCGGGTTCAACAGGCTCCGCCCAGTACGGGCAGAGCTGAAAGTGGAGGGCTGCCTGGAGGAGGAGGCGCGGGTGCAGGTGAGGCGAGGTGCCCAGAGAGGGGGTTGCAGGTGAGGCGAGGCGCCCAGAGAGGGGGTTGCAGGTGAGGCGAGGTGCCCAGAGAGGGGGTTGCAGGTGGGGCAGAGGAGCCTGAGCCTCCCTCTGCAGCCCGGGAGGTAGGCCGGGCGGAGGATAGCACCTGATCCTTACAGGTTGGTAAACCGAGGCTCAGGGTACACCCAGAAGGGCCTGAGGGCCTCACACAGAGCAGAAAGAACAGGGCGCACCCACCCCAAGTGCAAGCCACTTCCGGGAAGGCCCGACCCTGAGTGCTCAGCAGGGTCAGCCGGAAACCACAGGCCTCAAGACCCCTGACCTAAGGACACCCATGTCCCAGCTCAGCACCGCCCCCCGAGCCCTGATCAGGGCCTCCTGTCCGCCACTGAGCCCAGGCCTGGCAGAGGGGCCTTGGAGCTCCCCAGGGTAGTGTCTTCCTGCTCTGTGTCAGAGCCACCTCCCCCAACTCCACCTCGAGGGGCCCAGAGAGCCGTGCTGTGTGCGCCCCAGATCCAGGCACCCGTCATATCTCCCGATGCAGCCTCAGGGCATCAGCTGCCTCCTGTCTGCACCCGCCCCCATGGCCCACTCTGGGCCTCTCTGCGGGGGACACTGCCTCCTGTCCCATCCACCCATCTTCATGAGGCCACCTCCCCCGGCTCACAGTCTGAGGCCACAGCCCCTAGGAAGCCAGCCTGACAGTGTCAGCACTGACCACAGGGAGGTGGCCAGGGCAATGGCCCCCAAGGAGTGAAAGGACTCCATTCAAGGAGAGAACACGGGCCTCTGGCCAGTCTCACCCACTGGGCTCCACTGGGCCCTGCCCTTGGCTTCACTGAGGAAGGTTCCAGAAGCCGGTACTGACCCTCAGCACCTCCTGGTGCCCTGGGCAGGGCTGCAAAGCCATTGAGGGGAGGGGAGAAGCAGTGGATGGGAGTAGTGCCACCACCAGTCACATGGGGACAGGGACACAGTCACTGTCCCCCTCTGCCTCCTCTGCCCTTGCGCCAGCACTACACCCCTCCCCCCCCGGTGGGTGCTGCTCCCAGGGGGACACCCACAGATGCTTGCTGAGCCAGAGTGAAGACAGGTGGGTCCAAGCTGGCCATACGCCCCGGGGACACAGCCTCTGCACTGGGCCAGCAGCCCGAGGCGGGACCCTCGGCAGAAGACCCTGCCCACTCACCTCGCCCAGCCGCTCACACATGAAGTTCTCCCAGCCGTCCTCGGGGGGCGCCTCGGGGATGAACAGCCAGTCGGCCCCGGAGGCCAGGGCGGACACCAGGGCCAGGTACCTAGAGGAGAAGGGGCCATCTGCTCAGGGCGGGGCCCAGGTCACGCGGAGCCCCGCCTCCAGTCCTTCTCCCTGCATCCCGGCCCCAGAGATGATGGACTCCCACACACACGGCAGCTCTCACACCCACAGCGTTAAATGTGCACCTGCCACGTGCCAGGTGTGTGGAGGCACCACGCCCCCCCCTGCTGCTGCTCCCAGGGCAGCCCCCTTACCCGCAGTGCCGGCCCATCACCTCCAGCACGAAGGTCCTCTGATGGCTGTGAACACGGAAAGGGCAGAAGGTGTCAGTGCCAGGCCTCTGTGAGCTGACTTGCCCGGCCCGGCCTCATGGGCCAGCAGAAACGCCTCCTACAATCCACGGTGGCCAGGCCACGCTGCCCACACCCCATGTGTGCCCAGGTGACACAGCAGCAGCGCAAGAGCACACAGCTCTTCTCACTCCCAGGGCAGTCACGTGTCTGAGCAAAATGTGGCCTCGGGCTTCTGACCAGGCTTGGGGCTGGTTTCACTGACCGCCCCGCAGGCTGAAGGCCATTCCCCTTGCCCAGGCCTGGCCACCACTGGCCAGTAGCCTGAGGACCTCCCTACGGGACACACCGTCGCCCAGGGCCCCTGCTGCCCTGCAGAGTGGTGGCCTCGCCCTGCGCCAGGAGAACAGGATCCCCAGCTTGCTGGCCTGAACGCCTGGCAGGGTCAGGGGGTCACGGGCCTCACGCACCTCTGGGCCGTGGTGGTAATGGCGTCGATGACCTCCATGATGCGATGCAGGGCAGAGTCCGTGCCGATGGTCATGTCGGTGCCACAGAAGTCGTTGTCAATAGATCCCACCAGCCCGGCAATGTTCAGGTGTGAGTAGGTCTGAGCTGTGCTCTCCGAGATCTTACCTGGGAAGGGGCAGCCGGGCTGAGGCCCCACCGGCCATGTACCGCCCCGACCCCCGACACCCCGGGAAGGTCCCCAGGCTCAGCCTCTCCCTCCCCAGGTCCTGCACAGGGGCTCCCCAGGGGGGACGGCAGCTGACTCTGATGCTACGATGTAGGTGTGTCACCCTGACCAGGGGACCTCCAGGGCAGCCTTGGAGAGTGACCACGCTCCACGTTTCCAGTCCTACACGAGCGGCACAGAGCTGAGCTCCGAGAGGTCACTTTCCAACTGGAGACCTTGGGACTGCGTCTTATGTTTATGAAATTTTAACTATGACACCTCTGCAAGCTGACAGCCTGTAAACCACATCCGGGAATCAGTTCCAGATGGGACCTGTCCACACAACACGAGGTGAGTCGGCCTGGGACTGCGGCCCACCACGCCTGGGGGTCCCTGTGCTGGGTCCTAGAGGCTAGAGCTCAGGCCCTGGTCGCACTACCAGCCAGACCCAGCCAGCCGCCACCCTGACCTGGGCTGGGCCAGGCCCACGCCACCCAGCCAGCAGCCAGGCAGCGTCTCACCCACCTCCCCATCCTGCTGCTGACTCACCTTCCTTCATCAGCTCCTCCAGCAGGCTGCCCCACTCGCTGCGGAAGATGTTGGCACCCGTGAGGCTGCCATCCCCGCCGATGACACACAGGTTGGTGATGCCACGCTGGACCAGGTTGTAGGCTGCTGCCAGGCGTCCCTCCCGCGTGGTAAAGGCCTTGCAGCGGGCACTGCCAATGATGGTGCCACCCTGCACAAAGGAGATGGGTGCCTTGGCCGAGGCAGCAGAGGGTCCTGTGGGACACTGGAGGGACCCAGTACTGGGCAGCAGGGGCCTGATGGACCCCGCAGAACTGAGAGGGTGAGGTCCACGTCCTCCTCCAGATGCCTGGCCCCACCTCCCTGGGTCTTTCTCCTCGAATATATGATGAAAAGGACAGTATCCTCCTGCCAGGCTTGGGAAGTCCAACAAGGTAATGGAATGAACAGGCACCGCTCACACATACCCACACCCACACCCACACACACGCTCACACATGCACACACACACATGCTCACACATGCACACACACACACCCCACACACACACACACAGGCTCACACATGCACACACACACAGGCTCACACATGCACACACCCCCAACACACACACACATATGCTCACACATGCATGCACAATCTCACACACACACGCACGCTTGCACATGCACACGCTCACACATGCATGCACGATCTCACACACACACACACACACACATTTGAGGGCAGACACACCTGCCCTCGGGATGGGCACCAACCCCGGGAGCTCCCTGAGCCTCAAGAGGACCTGCCCGCAGCAGCTGGAAAAACATGCAACAGCTCCTCCCTGCTTGGCTCTGGCTGGGCTCCACGAGGACCCTGCCAGCTGTGCCCCATCCCCCACCGTGCTGCTTCTGGGACCCGCCAGGCTGGGTCCCAGGCTGAAATGGGCCAGCCCAAGGGCACCACTCTCAAGGCAGAGCCGAAACCCTCCCTTGTCTGCCCCCGCAGTGCCCCCTGGGCTTCCCAATGGCTATCCTGACCCCTCTGCATGTCCGTGCCCACTGGACTGACCAGGGCCAGGGTGGCAAACCTGCTCTGTCCCCCAGGAGCCAGGAGAACTCAGTCCATCAATGACAGCTGCTCTGGGCAGGAGCGGCGGGCGGCCCCTCGGATGGGCTGTGCCTGGACCAGCCCTGCACCAGGGCACTGGGCACTGGGGTCCGGGCCGGCCCTCCCGCTGCTCCTGCTGACCTATCTGTGGCTCACGGTGATGACTGGCCACTTGAATAAGCCAAGTGTCAGCTGGCAGCCTGGGATAAACAGGTGACAAGTGCCCTCACCACCATCCCAGCTCTGTGGGGGGCAAGGGTCTCCCCAGAGGCATGGCACAAAGTCTACCACTCCTAGGAATCCTGGCCCCTCAGTAGGTTAGAGGGAGGCCTTGGCCTTGGTCTCTGGGAGGCTCAGGACGGTGATGATGGGGAGGCCACATGGGGGGATGGAGAGGCCACTCAGGGCAAGCCGGACCTTTTCCAAAGTGTCCCCTCCCCCTGCACCCTTAGCTGGAACTGAGAGTGAACTCTCGTAGTGGAGATGTCTGGGGCCATCGCGACTCCATGGTCCCATAGCAGCCAGATGACACGGTCAGCCTTGAGGCGAGCCTCTGTGGGACAGGGTGTGCTTCTGTGTGTGTGTGTGTGTGTGTGTGTGTGTGTGTGTGTGTCTGTCTGTCTGTCTGTCTGTCTGTCTACATCTGTGTGTGTGTGGCTGTGTGTCTGTATATCTCCGTGCATGCACACGCGTGTGCTCATGTGCAGGGCGGGCCTGCCGCAGGCCTTACCAGCTGGATGATGTTAGAGACACTGAGCCAGTTGGCTGGCTTGATGTTGTCACCTCCTTCCACGAGGCCCTCGTAGCCCTGAAACCGAGGAGCACAGGCGTGAGACGGCACCCCTAGCAGCCAGACAGCACCTCTGCCTGTGAGCAGGATGGCCAAACCCCATCTGGCAGCAAACAGGTGCCGGGTCCTGCCCGCCGAGGCCCCCACCCCAGGGCCTTCGGGGGGGGATCCGGGCCCAGCCAGCGGTCACGGGCAGTGGGAGAGGCCAGGCTGCCCAGACGGGCCTACCAGAACACCTGTGCCAGGCTGGCAAGGCTGCTTGCTACAGAGCGTGACACAGGCAGAGTGCTCGTGCCACAGGTGGCCCGCGTGGTGAGTGCGCGAGCCATGCCCGGGTCACCGAGCCCAGGTCAGAAACAGAAGCCCGGCGTCCAGCAGCCCTCTGGCTTTCTAGGACCCTCCCCTCCCAGAGGACGATTAGATGTAGAAATGACAGCAGTGTCCACTTTTTGTGACTGGTGTTTCCGAGGGCCCACGTCTCCATGGCCAGCCTGTCTGGGGTACCACAGGCCACTGTGTGCGCCCCAGTCACGATGCATCCACCGAGATGGACATTTGGGCGGACTCCAGGTTGGGACTATTAGAAATAAGGCTGCTAAGAACACACACGTCTCCTGATAGAGGGCTCCTGAGCACGGGGTACGTGCACAGCCACCGGCGGCACTGCCACACGGCACCCGCCATGCTCGTGGCGCGACCGCCCTGCCCCCCAGCCACATGGCCAGGCTCCTGGACACTCCGCCCCACAGCGCCGGCCCAGTGACTGCATGTTGGTCCCTGCAGGTGGGTCCATCCTGAGTTTCCCTGGTGACCACACACTGTTTCCCTACGACATAAACCACGGGCCGTCTGGGCCACCTCTGTGAGAAGTGCCTGGTCAGGCGTCCTGACATTTCTCCTATCACATGGCCACCCCTTTCTCATTAGTAGGAGTTCTTTACTCCGTCTAGATAGAGAACAGGTGCATTTCATCAGTGGTGAAGTGACGCAGCACCTCCACGCTGAGATGAGCAGGGCTGCCTCCTCCATGCAGCCCTCCACGCTCCTGCCTGGGGCTGGAGCCCAGCTCGGCTCTGGGCTCTGGGTATCCGCTCACCCTCTGCCTCCTCCTCTCGGGCCACCCCCACCCATGCTGTTTTGTCCCAGGCCTGTATAATCCCGGGCAGCGAGGCCCTAGAAGCAGGCGGGGCAGGCACTCCTACCCCTGGGGAGAGGGGAGGGCACTACACACAGGGACTACAGTGAGGGCCCAAAAGGGAATGTCTCTTCACCTCAGGACATGGGATGTTCCCTTCAGCCCCACAGCCCGCCCAGGCCAGGCCAGGCTGGAGGGGCAGGTGCCCACCCTGCAGGAGCCGGAGCAAGGAGGAGGCTGTCAGGGCCACAGGGGACTGAGGCCCCAGGCTGTGGACCCCCAAGGAGCTACCTTCCACAGCTGAAGCCAGGCCACGTCCACCCTCCCCTCTTCCTCACCTGTGGTCAGGAATTTGGCCACGAGGACATAAGCCAGCCCTGCCGCCAACAACCCTGCACAGAAAAGCAGGAAAATGACCTGCAAACCCCCAGCAGGCACTGCCCGCAGCATGGAGCTACCAAGTCAGGCAGATCTCAGTCTGCAAAAGCCCAGAGCCAGGCACAGGGCCCGAGCGAGTGCGGTGCCAGCCTGGCCCCAGCCCACTGGGCACCCAGCAGTCCCCAGAGATGCCCGCCAGGCCAGTCAGCTCAGCTCGAATCAAAGTCTCACAGACACCACCCGCTTCTCCTAACCTTGGAGCCTTCTAGAATGTCTGCACACCTCCACTCACTTTGTGTCACCTCTGCTCTCCACCCCCTCCCGCCCCATCCCAGGCCAGGCCCCCGTCAGCCCCAGAGCTGGCTGCTGGCCGAGTGCACTGCTGGCCGCTCTCCTGGGTCAGCTCTGATAGGTCCCGTCTGGGCTCCGGGATGAATAAAAGCCGTCCAGTTCACTGTGCTTTAAATCACAACCTGCATTAGCGCCTGTGCCCTAACACCCCGCCCCCGCCCCGCCCAGAGAAGGAATGGTAGCCCCACTTAATAGGAGAAGCAGCTGAGTGTTAGACAGGTGAAGGGACACACCTGCCACAGGTGGACTTCAGGCAGGACTTGGACCCACCCCTCGCGCCTGGAGGCTGCCGGTCCAGAACCTAGGCCACTCCCTGGACAACGTCATCCTGTCCTCCACAAGGTTCTAGACCATTACCAGGGCGTGGGCCCCACCTGCCTGGCATCTGTGACTCTGAGGAGACCTGCTTTCCAAAGACACCTGGGCTGGTCTGAGGGTCAGAGCCCTGCAGGGGCAGCGGCCTGCAAGCTGCTGCCAAGGGCTGTGGGGGGGCCAGGGGAAGAGCCGGGAGTGGGGCACCGGGGGGAGCAGAGGCTGGGTTAGCTACCGTCTAAGTGAAAAGTGCAAACAAAGTAACACAGGAACGCTGGGAAACCAGAAGATGGAGGAAGTTCACCGTGTGTGTGCGTGCACCCCAACTGTGACACAGGGATGGGGGGCAAAGGGGCACAAGCTTGGCTAGAACGATGCTCTGAGGCGCAAGGAGGGGCTCTGCTGTTGTTACTGGTTGATTCACACACGGTTTGAGTGGACGGGGTGCAGGAGGGCTGGAGATGAGAGGGGGACCCGGCTGGGTAGGGGCTGGGGTCCTGGGCCTCAGAAGAGGAGGGTGGCAGCGTCACGCCCTCCTATCTCCCCAGGGACACAGTCCACCCCACAAGGACCCAGGCAGGATCCTCACCCACAGCCCAAAGAGGGCCCCAGCCGCCACCCTGTCCATCTCCGTCCCACCTCCCTGTCATCGTCCCCTCCCTCTGGGCCTGCCTTGGGTTGAACAAGCGGTGGCTGCTGAGGGACAGGGCAGGCATCCCCCTCCAGCCCCTACCGTCCCACTCCTGGCCCAGAGCCCACCAGCGTGGCGCCTGGACCCTGCCCGGCCTTACCTCGTAGATGAGGAAGACCTTGGCTCCCACATAGATGCCCATGCGTGTCACAGCCCGGACCGCAGCGTTCATACCTGCGAGGGAGTCAGGGCGACAGTCAGTGGAGATGCACAGATGTCGGGGCCCAGGACCCCACCCTCTTCAGGGGGTGCCGAGCCAGGAGCGGAGCTCCAGCCCAGGTCACGGGGCGAAGACCAGTCACTGCAGCTTCTGAGCGTTAGGAAAGCAGCAGCCCCCCGAGTTAAACCAAAAAATCCCGACCCGTGGGTTCCCGCCTCATCCACTCCCGTGCTCCCCCACAGCCTCCGCAAGCCACGACCCTGGGGGCAGCTCAGGGAGCACCCTGAGCACCGTGTCCACTAGCCCTAGGACCACACGCGCTGCCCCACGCCCCCGAGGGTGGGCTCTATGGGTCAAGAGGAGGGCAGCGTTCCCAGGGCCTGGGGTGTCGGGGAGTCCGCGGAGTCAGGCTGTGTCGCTGAGCAGGCTCGCGCTCCAGCCATCCAGCCTGCACGTGCACAGGGGAGCCTGCAGGCTGGGGCCGGCCCGCCCGCTCCCCCGTTCCCCTCGCCCGTCCGCTGAGCCTCGTGACTACCCTGCAGCGTAGGCTTCCTGGAAAGATGGACTGTGGGAAATGCTCCGAGCCCAGGGGGCTCAGCCGCCTTCCTTCACAGCTGGTTCCAAGACCCACTGAGGGCAGAGGTGTCTGCCTGAGCACCCCCCACGAGATGCAACCTGAACAAAGCCCTCACAGCAGCCCCAAGAGAGGCACAGAGCAGCAGAGGTGGCCCTGCGCGGCGGTCCCCCTGCCACACACTGAGGGTGTGATGGGGCCTCCCCCAGGGGCTGGGCCTCCAAGCGACCAGACAGCCATGGCTGCAGCTGCCATGGGCCTAGAGAACGCCAAGTCAGGTACCCTGGTCGGCGGCCCCGTGCGGGCACCCCAGGCAGGCCCAGCCCCTACACTAATGCAAGCCTTCTTTCCCAAGAGTCCACCCACAAAAGACATCTGTGCCTCAGTACAAGAGGGGCAGGCAGGGCACCCCATGCCCTCAGAGAGGAAGAATAACAACCATAATCACCTGTTTAGGGTCTCATCCTATCACGCTAGGTCCAGGGCCAGATCACAGACCTGTGCTTGGTCTCCCCCAAGGACCCCGCACCCCCATCCCTCTGCCTTCCTCCCCAGCAGCAGGGCCTGGAGCACACAAGCACGTGCTGTGGTTTGTCCCTAAGCTTTCGAAAGCCTTTTCCCTGGAGGTGGTGCAAACGGTGTGGCTGCGCCCCCAGGAACCCAGGCCTTCCTGGTACCTGAGCTCACAGAGATGGGCAGGGCCCATCTGCTTGGGTGCCCTGCAGGAGCACCATGGCTTCCAGGGTCCCTCGCAGCTTGTGTGGTCCACATGGTGACCCCAGCGTGGGGAGTTACTCGTGTCTCACCGGGTCTCAGCCTGGAAGGCAGGGCCCAGGGGAGACAGCAGGTCTTGGGGGACAGTGGAGGGCCACACAGCACCTCAGGAAGACCCAGTGGGCTGGGTGTCTGCAGCACAGGCGCTGGGCACCGGGCTCCCGCCATAGCAGACAGGCATTTGCAATACCCCCATTCTACAGATGAGAAGCCCTGGTCCCAGAGGGACAGGAGGGACCTGCTGGAGCCCCAGCAGATGAGGGTACCCCGACCCCTCCTCAGGCACAGCGAGCCCCCCATCCCCACCCACAGCCGGGGCTCCAGTTGCCGGATGTCCAGAGGCACCCAGATGGCAGGGCAGGCAGAGCACAGAGGCTGAGACAGCCACGCCTGCGGCTTCCACACTGGACTTTGACCAGAGAACCCCATTTCTAAAGAAATCATGAATGTCTCACATCCTCCAGACACATGGAACTGGGGCTGCGGAGGTGGGAGTTGGCAGCCGGAGCCCAGGGAGCACCCACACCCCCCAGACAGCTGGGCTCTACCAGGAACCGGGGTCTGAAGCTCATAAATCCCGCAGCCTGGGGGCCATGAGCTGTAGGCTCCCCGCCTCCCTGCCATCGTGGGTGGGGGGCGCTGAGCAGCACGTGGCCCTGCCCTTCTCTGACCCCCACCCCATCGGGCCCCGTCCTGGCCAAGGCATCGGGCCGTCTCACTGGCCTTGGCCAGCCTGGACGGTTCACCCTCCCGCAGCCACCCTCACTGATGAGGCCACTTCGGACCCACTGCAGGCTCAAGGTCCAAGCCCCGTATCTGCCAGGCAGGAGGGAGGCCAGCAGCCGGAACAGGGTGAGGAGAGAGGCGGGGTGCGGAGGGGAAAGGGCAGTAGCCAGGGACTCAGGCCCACCATTCAACCGGACGTCTCTCTGGTCACCCCATTTTGGCCAGCTGCTGGAGGGCTTGAGGGACCCCAGAGGTAGGGTACCGTTCTCAGCCCTTCAGAGGACACATAACCACATTCAGAGAAAACTTGAATTTTAGCCCAGGAACCGGATGCCATGGAGACAGCCATCGGAGGGTGGCGGTTCCTCTGTGTACCTCACTGTAAGCTGCCTTCTTTAAAAGGCCTTTTTATAGCCCTTTAATCTGCTTTTCTTCCTCAAAATAAACCCTGGGCTGGGTCAGAAGAGTGGGCAGGAGAGCAGCTGCATCTACCAGCTGAGGGGGCTCGTGACCCCTCGCCCCTCCAACCCCAGGGAGGGGCATCCCATGACCTGTTGGAGGAAATCCACAATGCCACCAAACTCATGCCTGAGGTTGATGCGTTTGCAACTTTTCACCACAATTGGCTCCCAGGAAAACAAAAATGTGCAAGAGAGTGGTGACCGTGAGGCGACACCAGGCTCAGCAGGACATTTCATGACCAGATGACAGGGAGACGCGGAGCCTGGCTGGGACGGGATGAGATGCGGAGGGCAGTCCGGGAGCTAAACCCTCACCTGCAGATACAGGACATCAGTGTCCTACTAACCAACCAGGAAAAGGCAGGTCCTGTGTGTTATTTAGGGGCTGGGAGGGGCTGCCCACTGGGGAGCCCGAGGGTGCAGTGGTGGGCGGGCCAGTCTCTAGTTACTTTGCACAAAGTTGCTGTGACACCCTTGGACAACTGCCTCCCTCAACTCACTGACACTTCCTGCGGCCACCAGGAAAGGAGAGACCCCAAGCTGGCAGAGGGTGCCACTTCCAGGCTGGCTGGAAGGGACCTGCCAGGTGGCCTGTGTTGACCCTTCCACCTGTTTACAGTAGGGGAAACCGAGGCCCACGGGAAGTGCTTGGGTCAAGTCACAGCTGGTCAACGCCAGCCCTGCCAGGACCTGGGTCTGGCCCTCCACTCCATGAGGCTGGCTGGTCTGCACACATCCCAACAAAAGCAGACTGTAGCCACTGGGAGCGAAGTGCCCACTCACCCCGGCTGCCGTCAGCCCCGGGCACACACAGGAGGGCACACACAGGACACAGGAGGGCAGAGACATGTTGCTGTCAGGTCTCTACAAGATCAGCTTTTAGAAGGACATGGGGGCCCTGAAGGCAACCTGAGCACCCACATCGGGAGCTGGATCGCAGGAGCAGTGATGGCAAGAGGGGAGCTGGCCAGGGGCGCACCCACTGACTGGCTCCAGAACCCCCAAAACAGAAAGGCTCCATTCTCCCATCACACCAGCTAGCCTTGCGTCTTCCCCCCACATCCACCCAGCCCTAAACCAGGGAAGTCTGTGCAGCCCCAACCAGAAACCACAGCTAGCATGTCATCTACAGATTGTCAGGCGCGCACAGCGGAGGAGCTGAGGTTGCCAGGGGTCTGGGAAGTGGGGACACATGCAGAGAAAGGCATGAGGTAAGCGGCCCACGGTCAGCCAGCAGATGGCCAAGCTCCAGCCACATCCAGGAAGCGCTGCCCGTCCTGTGTGAGGCACCAGGGCCACAGCTCAGACAGGCTTTGCCCTCGGCCGGCCCACCTGTGCAAGCTGGCAGCACCCTCCCTGGCCCCTCGGCCACCCCCACCGATCCCCATCCTCTGTTCAGTCTGTGCCAGGAGAGGGAAGGGGCACGCCACCCCGAGGGCTTTGCACCCCGACCTGAATGCACACCATTCATCCTTCCGTCCTCCTCAATGCTGCCGTCTGCTGTCCAGACCAGAGCCTGCGGTGGAGACCCGCTCCGCAGGAGCCATGCGAGTGGGGGCCTCCCTGGCCTCTCTGCGCTTGTCTGGCCAGGTGGTCAGCCCTTCCAGGGTGCCCTTTCCGGTGTCTAATCTCACAGGACGGTGCTTCCCCCAGGCTACCCTCCAAGCCCACTCACTCCAGCCCTGACTCACTGGCCATGCTCTAGGGAGGGACGGGCAGCAAATGCACTGGCCACGAGGGGCTGCAGACGTGCCGCAGGGCACTCTGCCCGCCAGCCGCGGGCTCAGCCCGACTCTCCTTGCAGGGAAGGGCCCCTCGCAGGCGAGGACACAGAGTCTGATTCTTTCTGCCTTCCCGGATTTGTGACAGCTCTTTCCATTTCTGAGGGGAGATGGGGAGTCGGGGGCCTGAGGCGGGGAGGGAGGTGTGTGTCTGTACTTTCTGATTTGAAGGCAGGCAGACCAGGCACACAGTCTCCATCCCTTCCAGTCCTGCTTCCCGGCCTACTGAGATCTCTCCTGGGGTTCAGGGTGGAGCCGTATGGCCAAGCGTGACCGGTGCCAAGCTGGCCATCCCAGGTCGGAGGCACCGGAGAGCGGAAGTCAGGACAAGACCAGGCTGCCAGGAGAGAGGCTGCTGGGACGGACTGTCCCCCCCCCCAGATGGGGCCCTTGCCCTGCTCTGCCCAGCCCCGGCTGCAGGACCCTGGGCTTCCCCTGCACAAGGGGAGTGAGAACAGGTCTGAGCTACAGGAAACACCTCCCCAGGGCACCCTCTCCCCCGCTAGGCCTCAAAGGCCATAGAGGGCTGGTCTGGGTAGGTCCGCCACCCCCACACCTAGCAGCCAGGACGGAGCGGGCAGGATGGGAGGGGTGCGGGCATCCTTGCCGCCCCGGAGGCCATGGCTGGGCGAAGCACAGCGTTCCCAGGTGCCTTTCAGAACCAGGAAGAGCCTGGCACTCAGGATCTGGAGGCAACTGCGCAGCTCAGCGCGGCCTCCAGGAAACAGGACTCCCGACACGTGCCACCCGAGAAGGAGCGCGGGGAACCCCCGGGTCAGCAGGAGGGACACCCGCGGCCACGCCAGCGCCGGCCCGGAGCGCGGCGCCCCCAAGCCGCAGCCGGCGCGCAGACACACCTCCCGCAGGCGCGCGGGGGCGGAGCGCGGAGGCCGTGGCGTGTGGCACGTACGCGAGCGGCCGAGGGAGGGTTCGGGGGCTGGACGGGGTGGGTCCGGGGCGGGAGGGGGACCCGCG